CCAACTTGAGTCAAGAAATCAAATTTTAAGTGTACAAAGATTGAGGTTAAATGTAATCGACTATATAAAAAAGAGTTTATTTAATAGGTGTCATATAAATTAAGAGCATAATCCTATAAAAAAAAAGAGAGCTCATTTTTTTTAAAAGTTAAATTAATATGAGAAAATTTTCATAATAAAGAGTTAACCATTAATCTACGAGGATGTTTTTAAAAAAAAACTCTTTATATTTTTTTTGAACAAGTTATTAAGGGGTGGATTCGAAAGAGAAAGGAGAATGCACCTCATACTGATAGGTTACCAGTTGGGTCGAAGGGTCAGGTATAAAAAAAACTCATTTTAAAAAGAAATAAACTATAAATTAATATAATCTGTTATTATAAGGGAAAGTTTTCTTAGTTCAAAAACTGAGGAAGTTTTCTTCTAGAATGCGTAATTAGTCTTCTCTCTTCTGATTTAATCAGTTGAATTTTATTTTATTTTACTTTATTTTTTTGCATCTGAAGCAGGATACTAATTACAAGAGAATCTAATCAAATTAGATTTTTTCATTGGTTTTCGTGGCCAAAGGAAAGCCACTTATGTGTATGGATTTTTCGAAAACGTTTTCTTGGGAGTGGGTTACCAAATAGGTGCATGCATTTTGACACGCACGTCCCCAGTTTGGAAACGTTATCGAGTTTTAAAACAAAAACCAGAAACCCAATGAAAGTTTGAAACTGTAAGAAAAAAGTAGTATAAAGAAGAAGCCAAATACGACTGTATAATGTGCTTCCTATTCAGTGACCCACTTTTCTCAAACCAGGTTCTAACTCTTGACTCTCTGTATGGTCCGATGTACTATTAATGTTTGTATAATTCCATAAAGCCAAAAGAATATGATCAATAAAGTAGTATAAAGGCAGAGAAAGATCCGACACAGCATCAACGAATGGAGAAATATCACCAGAAAGATGAGTGCCATTTTGAGTGAATTCAGTAAAATAAAATATCCAGAATTTGGTGGCGGCTGGTGAGGTAGCTATAGAATTGAAAATTAAGTGCACACAAAGGAAAGATGCATGAACCAAAACTAAATGTTCCACAAATAGAATGCAGATGGGACCTTACTGATTATAACATTATAACACTAATATTATAAAAATGTATAATTCACCATCCTTATTCTTGTCCTACTAGCAAAGTGTGTATATAATTAAGTGCAGGTGATGACTTACAGCCCTGAAAATGGGACCTATTAATCGCAATCAAAATAAGATTAGCATACAACACGGAACATTTTAGGTGCAATGTTTCAAAATTTTCATGTACTAGCATATGACTTGAGTCTTATATATTATACTAAATTTTGGGAAATAGATTAAATAATGTTAAATCATTGGATCTCAATTATTGCTAATGAATGAACCAGTGACAAATAAGAATCATGGCTATCAAACAATAAAAAGAAGTTCTGCTATTGGACCGTAGCATTATCTATTATGTGAAACACAGTCCAGAAAAAGAAAGAGAGAGACAATAGAGAACCAAGTATCTATGCAGGTAAATATCATCACATGGATAAATGCCTAATCTAAATTGACTGCATGAGTCAACAACTATTATCCTACTCAAACTGGTTGTCGAGCTAGAAGGGAAGGGGAAAAAGATTAAAAAGGGGAAGAATTTATGAATTATTGAGTGTAGTCTTTTGTTATATGAGAAGTTATTCAAGTGTACCAACCAGTGAGATGGAATACAATAGGCTATCTATTGTACAAATGAAACCAAAGAATACATTCTCTGTCCATTTATGAAGGAACACCCATCCTATTCCAACATTATTCCTTTCCTACATCCAAATGGGAGGTTTAAAAGACTTAAACCAAATAATGTAGAAGTAAAATTTCATTTTCTAGATTGGTATTGTAGAAACTGCAACTGCATACTTGTGGAAGGCAGTAACACTACATGAGACAGTTGTTTTAAAATAACTATTAGAAAACCAAATGAAAATGTTTTAAAATAACTATTAGAAAACCAAATGAAAACAATTTTTCAACAAGGGATGGGGAGGTATAGGATGGTTTGCCATGGAACGATCACCAAGTCTAATTGGTATTGACAGATCCTCAAGCCAAATTCCTCCTAATAACTATGTAACAAAAGATAGAAACAAGGGCAGAATGCAGAACACTTTCCCATCCTTTTACTGTTTTACCAGAATTCCAAGAACAACGAATGATGCCATACAGTTAATCCATAATTTAGCAGACAACAAGCAAAACAAATGTTGTAAGTTGTTGCATTTCCCTACGTGGCCCGCGTGGCCACGCTGCTCAGCAGCAAAGTGGAATGCACCCTTTGGTCTTGAGGTCAAATCCTCCCAGTGTTGAACAGATGCTAACTTAACCATATAATTTCCATTGTCAAAAAAAAAAAAAAAAAAAGG